CTTGATTTACACATTAATGAGTGAAAAACCTGCACTAACGGCCTCGGTTTTCCACGAAGACAGTACTCGAAAACGAGCCTTTTTCTTAATTTTTATTACTTTCAACTTGATTCTAAATATACATACAAAGGTCCTATTTATAATACAAACAACATTCAAATATTCAAATTTATCATAACCAACCATTCAAATATTTAAACTATAAACAACATAATAATCCTACCTAATTACTTAACCAACATAAATAATGTTAACTACTCCCGCCACTATAGTCCGTGTCCACTCGAAACTCCAGTTCTCATCACACTCCTTCGACACATCAATGACTCGTGAATCTTTATAGTTTTATGCAAGTGGTGTTTCTATATATGTTCGTGTGCTTTTAGCCATTTTTTATATATATATATATATATATATATATGCTACGAAGTAGGATTTAGGAATTTGATACACACTCAAACATATATTTGTAATATTTAAAAGAAAAAAAGAAAAAAAAAATCGGGCATGCCCCATTATTCTTAAATTACCTGCGTGCAGGTCATTGCCATTTGCCATTGCCAAAATATTAATAATTAAAAACAAAAAAATTATATGTACCAAATTGTCGAAAAAAATAAACCATCTGACGATTTTGTAATTTTTCAAAAACCTAGTTTAATGTGTGCAATTTTACGTAACAAAAACACAACCAAACTAACTTTGATTTGCTCGATTTTGAATAAAAATAATTTCATCCCCAACACATCTCACATGCTACCCATATATTTATCACTTTTATAATTCACCATCAACATTTAACATCTAATAAATTACTCCTATATTTCATTGTTTGTGAATAGCAAATTCACTGATTATAAATCATGATCAATTACTGGTATGCAAGTTACATACTTTGACTATAGTTATTCATATTCATGGACGTTCATTTGCAAGTTCATTATAGCACTTACATATAATATAACAGGTTTCGAAAGTCCTGCTATGTCTGTTTTGAGTAATCATCTACAACACGTCATCTTGTTGAGGATACACAGATCCATCCTCGATTGGCAGGGAAGGTGGAGTTCCGGGAGGTATGCAAGCTGCACCATTTTCACCGGCACATATACACAAAGCTTCCGCATCTCTTAAGATCTCGTCAAGGTTAATCTGACCACTCAGTTCATTGATAAATTTAAGCAGCGTATCGAAATCCATGCGGTCCCCCATTATCTTACCACGGTGTTTCTTGAGGATCGCAACACAAACATAGAGGTGAAGGTGTTCACTCTGATAGTGAGTCCATAAAACTTCCCACAGGCGCATTGTCTGTTCGTATTCGAATTCCCTGCAAAAGTAATGAGATGCTCGTTGATTGAATAAAACTGAAGTGGTTCTTTAAAACGGAACATGGGCAAGGAAGTAATTAGTCTGCACTCACCTCTTGAACTGTATCAAAATCCAGCGGAAACAGAAGAAATAGTTCAAGCAATCATTTTGCTGGAAATAGTTGTGCAGTGGGGTGTCCAATAATTCTACCAGCTGCATTATAGGAAAATATGTTGATTTTAGTGCCTGTTATCGTGTGGCATTTTTGCACTCTACATGCCACTAAGAACATGAGTGATTTGAAAAAATAAAATAAACGAGACTACGAAGAGGAATGTCACATTGGGAGACCTGCACCATCTAAAATATGGATAAATCTGGTACTGGGTCATCCCATGATGGATGATTAGAACTTGTAAAAAAATTCTAAACAATCATAAAATTGCCCAGAGATGAACTCGGAATATGTAACCATACTACCATCCATATAAGGAGATGAATCTCGGCCACTTTTTTTTTTCCCCCATTATCACCATTGTTCAAACAAGACAAGAAAAGTTGCAAACATAAAAACACATGCCAATTAATTGAAACAATTCCAGATATCTGAGTGTTATGAAACTCAAACTGTTAAACAACAGTAACACTCTGAGAACTAGCAAAATACTCAAAGAAGAGAGCCTTGGTCTCAGTGTAACAAACTATAGAGTATATACACTAGTGACAAATCAAATGAAAAGTTCCTGGGACAATCTATTGCAATCAGATCAAAGAGCTCACTGCAAAGAGCTATTAAAACCACTTTAGATCTCTAAAGAGGGTAAGAGTCCAATATGATAAAGTTCACAAATGCGTAACATACCAAGGCAGTGAATGGGTACAACATGTGTGCGCGCGCGCACGGGTGTGTGTGTGCGTGTGTGTGTGTGTGTGTGTGAGAGAGAGAGAGAGAGAGAGGACCTTTGATAATGCAAAAAGTTGAGAATGCATCCCACTCTGGTCACGATTGAAATTAGGTCCAAGACGCTCCATAAGGGAAACAAAGCACCAGAAGGATTTCGATTCATCTCTCATGACATACAAGATTGGGGACAGAAGATCACTCATACCCTAAAGGATGAGATATAGTAGCAGAAAAACGACGGTGACAATTAGTCTATGTAAAAATGAAATACTCATACATACACATATATATATGTGTGTGTGTGTGTGTGTGTGTGTGTGTGTGCACGAGTCGTTAGAAGTTGACTACCTGACAATATCCCAAATCAAAGTTGTAAAATGAGTATGTTAAGAGTATATCACGTAAGATATACACATTTGGATTGTCATCTCCATCATAGAATAACAGCGACCTGTCAGTCCTTACCTGGAACAGCAAGTAAAAAGAAACATGTTGCATAAAGTAGATTAGGAAATGTGCAAACAATTGAAAATTTGAAAATAACCACAATAAAGCATACCACATCCTTGTCGATAAGACCTTTCCTCTCTCTGAACTTTGTAAATCTTTTTGCCTGCTCCACCGATATACTCTGAGAAAACAATTAATGTAATATCATGTGATATATCTAGGTCCAGTGAAAGAATATGAACTCTTAGATGACCAAGCACCTAAGTTTTCCAGTTTATATTTTAATAGAATATACTCAATAAAGTCTGCAAATGAAATATGATTTCTGGCTTCTGCAATTGGATCCTGTCTCAAGGAACATTTACCATCTATCAAATCTACGATTTAAACCTCCTAAAAACTACAATATGTACGACGCAAAAAGCTGTAGGCTAGATAAATTTTTTCTATCATAGAACAGTCCCCTCAAAGACTACATATAAAAGACATGATTTGTACGTCGACATTATAATGTCCATATGGGTAAATTGACTTAACTGGGCTTCAAATAAGTCTTTGCATTTACTGAATAAGCTCAAGGTAACATGAGGAGATTGATAAGTTACAAGTGAAAGGTTTTCTAATAACATAAAACACAAATGAAAAAACCACCGCACTAGGTTTGTGTTGGTAAATCTACAAATTATCCGAGAAAATAAAAGGCATGAACTGTGACAAGAGACAAACCTGCCACTGCTTTTTTATAATTTCATATTCTGACTTCTTCACTGACGTAAGGTACTCCCTCTCGGCATATGTTGAATCATATGCATGCAATCCTAGTAAGAACGTCCAAATCTGTTAAAACAAGAAATTAGGGGCAAAAGGGTCAATTCACCAATTCGACCAAGAACCAAAGCAAAAAAATCATTCCAATACACTGACCTCTTTCCGCAGATCGTGATCTACTCCCCCATAAAAGATTCGCTTTCTGAATGCTTCTGAATTCAGTATTCGCCCTTCTTCATCCAAGAAGGTGGTCCACTGCAGGAAAGATTTTGGTTCATATGGAAGAATAAACAGGTTAAGCATTTTAGATGAACAATAAGTTAACGATTTCAAACAATCTTAACTGGGGTCCAAGTCAGATAGAGTAAATGTAAGGAAGCAAACGAAAAGCAGGATATCAATATTATTATGTGGAGAAACAAATCAAGAACACGAGGTTCCCAAGCTTAAAGCAAAAAACAGAATTATTCCAAATCACGTCTTTCCCAAGCAGTAATATGGTCCTCAATAGTATCATAACCCTACCCCACTAAATTATTTAGACCAGTACATAAAATCGTATCCTTTAACAACATCAACCACAGAAAGCAGGTATAACATGTCAGCTACACACAAAAAAAAACATGTTGAGATCAGGAGCTTATAATTAGGGATACTGATTGTTGATATTTTTTTATTCAATCCCTGTCAATTTCTGAATCATCTTTCCAAGGTGGTATCAGAGCCTACAACCAGTAAGCCTGATCTGTTATATTTCGTCGTCGCACATCCCTACTATATCAGATCCTTAGTCACAAGAGAACGAAAAATAATAATGGTAAAGAACAAAAAAAAAAAAAGAAAAAAATAAACAGCTTCAGTCATCCCAGCAGAACTCCAGTTACGGCAGCTCGATGGTCACACACCCAAGTGGCTGCTGGCCGTTTAACTCCATTGTCGTCCTATGTCTCATGTGGTGTCACATGCAGGTTACTGGCATCGCAGTCCACGCAGGACATTTTAGCCGTTAGTCTGGAAACCATGCCGCTGGTCTTGTTCGCCTTGCCAGCGTCTCCTCTCTCTTATTGTAGTTATTTGTCCGACCCATAACTCGTCGGAGGTTTTTCAATTTATTTCTTGGACAAATCAGCCCCCAGAACTTCTGTCCTGCTTCTGTTTCAGTTTGACATGGCAGATAGTGCCTCGTTTACCGACTTACACCACTATTTCCAAAAAGCTTGCTGGGAACTGAACTATAAAGACGAGTAGACCTGGTAAAAATTGAATTCATTCCAGACCCTGGTAAATATTGAAGACTGGTTGGGAAACTGAATTATACGATGACTAGCCATGACATATTCTTTTGTTGTCAGCATTGCGAGTTAAATTCTCTTTTCTTGTCAGTGTTGTGAGACAATTGCTAAATTCTCCTCGTGGCGATCCTTGGGAAGTTGTGGTACGGGTTCCTACATTACATACAGGGATCTCCAGGAAGAGGGTTGGATTGAGAATAGAGATCACTGAGCCTAGCTCAACAAATAGCAAGTAAAGGTCACTGAGCCTTCTAAAATAAAATAAAGTAGTTGAAACCCGAGACCAAAGGGGTACCTCACTTAACGTAAGGAAGTGTACCTAACGAGGGTTGTCGCATAAGAAGGCGCAAATTATGTCAGATTCCCACTTCATTTACTATCGACAGCTGGTTATTGTTTCTTACACGAGACAATGGTATTTCTTGGAAAAGCAAGAAAGAGAATGTTGTTGCAGAGTCTTTCTCAAGAAAATATGAATTCTCTTTTCAAGGAATAAGAAAAAAGAAAGAAAAATAAATGAAGAAAAAAGGAAACAAATGTTTGACGCGTCTCGTATTGTACAAGGACTATTTTCGGAATAATAGGGACAATATATTGATGAGGTGAAGACCAAACCATAAGGTCTAGTTAGCATACGAGACATCTTTACGACTTCAAAATTCTACTTGCAAATAAAATTTTGATGTGAAAAAATGTCTTAAAATGTAATCTGGTGAAGTTGGATCTTCTTCAGTGCTAATACTTCCATCCTTCTTGAGCACTATACTTCCATCACAATGACATTTGATAGTGAAGTCTATGTCCATTTAATCTTATATAGATAGATGTCTTAGCCAAAGCTAATCCTCTCATTTCAAAGAGAAAAGAGCCCACTGTCAAAATATTCTCGGACAGTTCAGAAAGCCAGTTTCAAATTAAGTGTATGCAAATATCTCTCATATCTCTGGATTTACAGAAGTCGTTGAAAAGGTTATCGAAGGTAATTAACAAGCCTATTATATTAGAGATCAATCTTCAATTTTATTTAATTCAATAATTAGGCTTTAGGTCCATAGGGTTGAAATACATATAGGGTTACATGTAAGATTGTCAGATTTAAGCTTTCTTCCCCAAGTATCGGCCTCAGGCTGGGCGGCATTCGTCCCAAGTTGTTATCGAATATATTCTTAGTTAATAATATCAATTATCAATTATTTTCGTCAGCTTTCACCCTTCATTCTGTCACATTAAGTGGTGGCTAATGTGGCCAAGTGATATAGTTACGTTGCTCCAATAAAATGAAGAGGGTAAAGGTTACATACAAAAGCTAGCGATCAATCAGGCACTTTGTAACGTAGCTATAATTAAGGATGTAACACCCCCACCCCCAACCACACAAAACAATAACAACAAAACTTCCTTCTCCATCCATTTATCATTTTCCCGCCAGTATCCTCCAGTGTAAAATCAGCATTCTGGTATGAGTACGATGGAAATCTTGTGAGGAATTATAATTACTGTAATATCACCATCATGAAATGACTAATTTGTTCCATTTTACATTGACCAGCAATTTAACTCATCTTGCAACCCTTCAGAGTTTCCAAAGAAATAGCAAAGGAAGATAATTGGATGGAGACAATGAGAAAACAACAGCAACATAACTTATGCAGTACTACTATATTTAGATCCTCATCATTCAGAAAAGAAGACCTACCTCTTCTTTCCCAAGTGGCGGCTGACGTGGTTTTCCCCATATCAGAGATGCTTTATCTAACTGGCAAAAGAAATCAAAAGTTAGGTACAATTTAACACACTCGAGATATGCATATATATATATATATATATATATATATATGAATGAAATAATCTGAAACACGGAAAAGCATTCATTAGTATTAAAATGATGAGCGCATGAAACTTCTATTTAAGATTAGAATAGGCAACCAAAGCTGTAAAACAAGAAAAAATAAGCATGTCATTTTAAAAAAATTTCAAGACTTAAACTTTAAGAAGACAAAGATGCCCCATCAAGGTAACACACTAATTAAACTAACAAGTATTCGACGATGTAAATGAAGTATTGGAAGTTATTTGTATGTATATAATGATTAATGATTTTTCTTTCACTTTTTTGCAGGCCAACTTTACAATTGAAGTAGCTGGAATATTTATTTTTTAAATTACGTTTATCAGATTGGATATAATGTATATTTTGGTATGTATTTTTTTTGTAAATTATTTATTTAGGAATTTCAAATACTTATTTTATTTTCTAAAAAAATTAATTGAAATGTAACCACAATAATAATATCTAATCACATTATTCGGTCAACATTATATGATCAACTATCAGTAATCAAGGGCGTGATTGTAAATATTTTCTACAGTAAATATCTCACTCCAAACTCAAATTTAACTCAATTTTAACTCAACTCCACTATCTCCAATATTGTCAAAATAATTAAATAATATCAACTAATCATTATTACACATCACATCAACCTTAATTCACTATTCACCCACTCACATCATTTTAACTAACCATCACTTCCAATCATTTTCTCCTACTTTTACATCAAATCAACTTTAATTATTTTAATTTAAATGTTATTTTAATATATCCACTAACAACTAACCATATTATTTTTTTCAAACTTAACTATAGTTAAAAAAAAAAAAAAA